GACATTGAAACCAAAGGACATAAGTAAAATATTTGTAAAACTTAGACTCACTTGTAAAACTTTAAAATCGCTATTTGAGTTGAAGTGGCAAAGGGAACGTAAATACTCTAGATGGTTCACGTGGTATTCGCTATCAAGCTTTACTCAAGTCGCAAGTTCATCTACTTAGTTCTCGAGCGTAAATTTGGGCAGCACGCCCTTTGTGTTTACCTATTTTCCAGCCATTTATGGCTTCATTCTTTTCCTCAATCAGTCACAAATTCTCACACAAAATCATCTCATTACAATAGCTATTCAATAGGCCCAAAGTCATACAAGTACAAAATCAAACTAGGAAAATGTTCGGAAATGAAGTTTAAGTTGGAAAACAAAAGACAGATTTGACGTTGTTTTCCGTAACGGGCACAACTGAGGCTACCCCTACCGGATTGAAGTGCAACTTATACCGTTTCGAAGATAAGACAAAGGGCTACAATTTTGATGAAGACAACTCAGTCCAGTTTGTAGTGTATCTAAGTCAAAAGTGCAATATACGAAACCAGAATCTCACAAATAGGTTGGCTAACCGCACTATGGTTTAACGACAATAACTCAGGCTACCGAAATCCGATTGAGGTGTATCTTATGGCATTTCGAAGCCAAGACATGTGCCTACATTTCTTATGAAAACCTCAAAAGCCAAATTGTAGACACCAAATTTTTGTCAATTTTTAATATTTTCTCAAGATTTTTGTATTTAATAATTTATTTATTTTCTTACATTTTAATGTGCATTTTTCTTATTTTTTGCAGGTTTGTTTTAAAAAAAAATACCAACTAAACCCATTTGACAAAATCCCTTGGTTCCCTCCTTATTCTCAGGGGACTGACAAGACAAAAAAAACGGCACTTTGGGGCTCAAAAAATAGGTACTCTCTCGGCTCTGGGTACTAGACAGAGGACAAGCCACAACAAGAAGAAAAAAAAAGACTCCAACTCTCACTGGGACTCTGGGCTCTCTCCCTCTCGGTTCCTTTTTCTTTTTTTTCTCCCAACACACTCACACACAACTTAAAAACAACAAAAGGAAGCAGCGATCGGTTAGGCTATTTGGAGCTTGGCAAATTGGCCAAGGGACCAAACTCCTCATTTGAGGTATTTTTTTTTTCTTTTTTCAACTTTTCATTTTATTAACTAATTAGATTAAATTCATGTTTTGCTATCTATTTGTCTCTTTCTTTTATTGATGTTGTTGTTATGTGGTGTTGTTGAAGTTTTGGGGTAAGCCATGTATGAAATTAAGAAAAAAAGATGATTTCTGTGAATGCATATTAATTGTTTGAAAAAATGCCAAAAAGAATTTTAGGGACTGTTTTGCCTTAATGTAGTCTTTTGTTGTTGTTTTCTGGTTAGCTAAGATTATAGTTGTAATGCAGAGATTATAAGGAGTATTGTAATATATTTTTTTATGATTTTTGGTGAAAGATAGGGTGAATGAACAAATGAAAACCGCGGCTTTTTCTTGTCTTTTTAGCCACTTTAAGGTCAATTTTTGTAAAAACTAACTCCGAAAATGGAGTTTGCGCGAAAAATCGAGAGAGGGGGTGTATTTTGAGGATTTTTGGTGACCGGAGAGGTCGCCGGCGACCACCGCCGCCACCGGCCGCCAGCTGAAGAAGGCCGAAGAAGAAGAAAAAAAGAAACAGCTTGAAGTGGAGGAAGAAAAGAAAAGAAGGAAAGAAAGAAAGAAAAAAAAAAGGGGGGGTTTGGGCTAAGGTGAGTGTAGACAATGAAATTTTAATTAAATTACCATTGGTCTATAAAATATTTTTGTCCAATCGGATATTGCCATATGGCATGTACACTTGGAAAAATTGGTTATTAAATGACCAATTATATTTTGCCACGTGTCAAGGTGAGGTGTTCCAGATCAGTTCAAATTGCAGGGGTATCTCCACCAACCAAATCATATCATGTCACATGTTTATTGGATAAATATCTAAATATTTATTTCTTATTAAAGAGATAATATTTAGAGTCATTTAATCCAAGTATATCTCTTATATACTGCGATAGCTTGGCCAATCAAACGGCGCCACGTCACGTGTCCCTACGAGTTTGGCCAATCGATGAATTATTTATCTCCTTATTAATAAATATGAAATGAAGAGATAATATTTGACTAGCACAGTCCTAATATGACTGCACGTCTTGCAAGGCAAGTGAAGTGGTACACAAGTCTTCAACCTCTACCTCTTGTCACAGCTATAAATAGATGTCTCTCAACCAAATCAAACACACACACACACACACACACAGAGATATCAAGAAAGCATCTCATACACTCAAGTATTGAAGCTTCAAGCTACGAAGGTCTGGGTCTCAAAGCTCCTCAAGTCTTCCGCATATCAAGACTTGAGCTTTCAAGTATTTTCAAATCCTTCAAATCTTCCATATCAAGATTTGAAGAAGTCGGTGGTTGATCCAAGAACAAGCTGCGAAGCCCTTGGATTGGTGTTCGAGGAGAAGAATCGAGGGAAACTCTCCACAAGATCGAGAAAACCCCAGAGATTGTACTCACATATTTTTCTAAATTTATATAGTATATATTTGTCGTGTGTTTTCTTGTCATTTTGCAGACTTGAAATTTTTATCGCGTACAAATTTTTGGCACGCCCAGTGGGACCATCTCTGCCTTCCATCTCTTCTCCTCGAAAATTCGACTACGTATATCGCCAATGGCACCAAAGAGCGACAAAATCATGATTGCACGTTCCAAGGCTATTGATGCTAAGCCTGTTCAGGAAGCTGCACATGTCGCTACCAATACCCGTGCTGTTGGTCCTGTGACAAGGAGCATGACGAGAGCCTCCACCCAAAGTAGCATGGAACCCTCGGCGCCAACTCCCGTCTTCGGGCCAACATCACAAATGAGCTATTCCTCCACGATGGGGGTCCAAGACGTTTTCACCTCGATTGAGAAGGCTCTTGCCATGCTCGAAATTGGATCCGAACCCAAATTTCATAAGCATGACGATGATTCATCAAGCACGGGATCAGCCTCTTCACATGAAACTCTTCATTCAAGATTTTGTATTGAAGATTCTGCTGCTTCTTCTACTGCAATGCCTGCCATGATGACAAATACTTTGAGTCTCGAAGAACAAGTTTCGAACATGTCCAAGATGATGGAAACCATGATGAAACACGTTAAGGACCAAAATGCTCTCATTGCTCAACTGCTCACCCAGAAAGATCATGCCCCTGAAGGAAGCCATGCGAATCGTAAGGAGCACCAAGAGCGTGAAAAAGGTAAAGACAAGGTGAAGGAAGTATATGTGACCGCCGATGGAGCTATTCCTGTGGAACAACTGAAGGAGCTTGTCGAAGGCGTGATCAAAGATAAAAAGGAGGGTGGTTCAAAGTCAAGCTTTACCTACTGCAAGCCTTACACTGCTAGAATTGACAACCTAGCAATGCCCGCCGGATATCAACCGCCTAAATTTCACCAGTTCGATGGGAAAGGCAGCCCAAAGCAACATGTGGCCCATTTTGTCGAAACCTGCAATAACGCTGGAACCTATGGTGACTTGCTAGTCAAACAGTTCGTCCGATCCTTGAAGGGTAACGCATTTGACTGGTACACTGATCTCACTCCGGGGTCCATCGACAGTTGGGAACAACTGGAACAAGAGTTTTTAAATCGCTTCTACAGCACTAGAAGAACTGTTAGTATGCTGGAGTTGACTAACACTCGTCAATGGAAGGATGAACCTGTGGTCAACTACATCGATAGGTGGAGAAGTCTGAGTCTCAACTGCAAGGATAGACTGTCTGAACCCTCTGCCATAGAAATGTGCATTCGAGGAATGCATTGGAGCCTGAGCTATATTCTACAAGGTATACGCCCAAATACATTTGAAGAATTAGCTACTCGTGCTCATGATATGGAGTTAAGCATCACGGCCAATGCAACTGACGGGCTTCCTATTCAAGCTCCGCGAGCGCAGCCGCCTCGTCAAAGCAACGAAAGGCAAGAAAATAAGAAGGGGGGCAAGCCTACTTCAAAATTCAGTAATAAGGAGTCCATGGCAATAAACACAGCCCCCATGAAAATTGCTACCAAGGTGAGTCGAAAAATCACCGAGAAAGTAGACTCTTCTCAAAATAGGTCGGTAAGAAGACCTACTCTAAAAGAAATGCAAGAAAAGGAATACCCCTTTCTCGAATCTGATTTACAGGGAATGTTTGATGATCTTTTCAAGGAGAGGCTCCTTGAACTTCCCGATATGAAGCGCCCAGAGGAAGCTGGTCAAGTCAACGACCCAAATTACTGCTGTTATCATCGCTTGATTGGCCATCCTCTCACTAAATGCTTTGTCTTTAAAGACAAAATTATGGAATTGGCCCGTCAAGGAAAAATCCTTCTCGAGGAAGATAAAGCATCGACAAACCAAACAACAATAATGTTTGGGTCTGTGTGTTGTCCGATAGAAGTTTTATCCACAACAAGCAGCGCTTTGTCCAAAGAGCTTGAAAAATCCTCAATTAAAGATGTTATTGAAGATAATAATGAATGATGGACTTTAGTCACTCGAAAGAGGACTTGCAAGCCAAAAATAAAGAAGTACATCTTTTCGAAAAGCATTCGTTCAACAAAGCCTGAAGTGACAATAAAACGACGAAATGCAACAAAGAAACAAAAGGGAGTGGCCACAAAACCAGTTCATTCATATTTTCATCTCCTTCAAGAGGTTCGACAACCCGTGACACTGAGAGAATTTATACCCAAGGGGTATTTAAGTGACGATACTGATAACTCCATCTCTTGTAATGTCGTCAAAGCTGAAAATTCTCAAGTCACACAAATTGGCGCGGAATTTGAGAAAAAACTCAAAATCGATGAGAAACCACCAGTGGATTGTGCAACGACCATCGTTTTTGATGATGATGATTTAACTGTTGAGTTCAAAACCCACAATCGACCTTTGTTTGTTAGTGCGTATGTCCGAGAGCAGAAGATGAATCGGATACTCATTTATGGGGGATCTGCTGTCAATATCATGTCCGTGCGTGCTATGAAAGAGTTAGGGATCTCAAGCGATGAACTCTCCCAGAGCCGCCTCATGATTCAAGGATTTAACCAAGGGGGGCAAAGAGCAATTGGCCTCATAAGGCTTGAATTGCTCATTGGTGAGCTGTCTTCAAGTGCGTTATTTCATATCATCGAAGCCAAAACCTCTTATAACATGCTCTTGGGAAGACCCTGGATTCACGAGAATGAAATTATACCGTCTACTCTACATCAATGTTTCAAATATTGTCGAGACGGTATTGTTAAGAAAGTTACTGCCGATGACAAACCTTTCACGGAAGCCGAAGCTCACTTTGCCGATGCCAAATTTTATCTTCACAAAGAAGCAAAAAGAAAGGAATCGGTAAGGGAAGAAAGTCAAGATTCCAAAGTACCCATCTTGCGGTATACTCCAAGATCAAAGAGAGAAGAAGGTCAGTCTTCTTTTATCAGAAATGATACATTAAATGTTCCGCTCACCAAGATAGAGCCTGTTAAAATTGAGAAGGTGAGCTTGCAAGGGTTCGTTCGTCCCAAAGAAGAACCGGCAGTGGAACAGTACTCGCTACCAACTAATCGGACTCAAGAAGGTTTTGATCCAAACGCCTATAGACTTCTTGCTAAGGCGGGTTATAACCCAAATGAGAAGAATACATTGGGCAAACTCCCTCCTGAAGTGACTGGCGAGAGGACTCACGGATTGACACCTACGCAGAAAATGTTGAAAGAAAAGGGCTTTAATGTTGAAAGCTCATCGAGAGGTCTTGGTTATCAACCGCCCTCTCCTGTTCGTATAATGATCAAAAGAGCGAGTTGTAACTATGTGAACGAAGAAATGGAGGTCACAAGCCGAAAGAGGTCTGTGTTCGATCGATTGGGAAATAAGTCAAAACGTACTTCTGTGTTTGACAGACTTGGCCCGCAGCCGAAAAATCTGAAGTCGCCCGTCTATGAGAGATTAGGTAGTAAGAAACAAGAGTACCAAGTTGTCAGGGAAAAAATTCTTACTCCAATAAAGAAGAACAGACCAAGAAAGCGAGTCTCCAATTTCTTCATGCACTATGGAGACTTATTCAATGTAAGAATTGAAACCATTTTTGAAGAACGGGGTCAAGAAAGTACGGCTTCCTGTCACCATATTACGATCAGTGATCTTGAAGAAGAAGGAGAAGAAGAAGAAGATGCAGATGACGCTCTCGCTGAACTTGAACAAGGGGTAAAAAATACGGTCGATGAGCTAAAAGAGATTAACCTTGGCACAAGCGAGGATCCTCGCCCAATTTACATAAGCTCTTGTATGACTCCTGAAGAAGAAAAAGAGTATGTTGATTTGCTGCTCGAGTTCAGGGACGTCTTTGCCTGGAATTACTCAGAAATGCCTGGTTTGAATCCAAGGGTCGCCGTTCATAATTTGTCCGTCAAGCGAGGAACAAAACCTGTCAAGCAAACGCAAAGGCGCTTTCGGCCCGAATTGATTCCTCTGATAGAAAATGAGATAAATTGATTGATTGAAGCCGGATTCATACGAGAAGTAAAATATCCAACATGGATTTCAAGCATTGTCCCTGTGAGGAAGAAGAATGGGCAAATCCGAATTTGTGTTGATTTTCGAGACTTAAATGAGGCTTGTCCCAAAGATGATTTTCCGCTCCCCATCACGGAATTGACGGTAGATGCTACGACCGGGCACGAAGCGCTATCTTTTCTCGATGGATCGTCTGGCTACAATCAAATACGCATGGCGCCCGAGGATGAGGAGCTCACTGCCTTCCGCAACCCCAAGGGGATTTATTGCTATAAAGTGATGTCGTTTGGCTTGAAGAACGCTGGAGCGACATATCAAAGGGCAATGCAAAGAATTTTTGATGATATGCTCCATAAGAATGTGGAGTGCTACGTCGACGACCTTGTGGTGAAATCAAAGAAGCGAGAGGATCATATTCAAGACCTTCGAAGAGTTTTTCAACGCCTTCGAAGATACCAACTGAAGATGAATCCTTTGAAATGCGCATTCGGAGTTACTTCTGGCAAATTTCTCGGTTTCATCGTTCATCAACGGGGAATAGAGGTCGATCGATCTAAAATCGATGCCATCGTGAACATGCCTGAACCGCGAAATATTCATGAAATGAAGAGCCTTCAAGGGAAATTGGCATATATCCGGAGGTTTATCTCTAATTTGGCCGGGCGATGCCAACCCTTCAGTCGACTGATGAAGAAAGGGGTGCCCTTTGAGTGGGATGAATCGTGTAGGAATGCCTTTACAAGCATCAAAACGTATCTCATGAGTCCTCCAGTTTTGGCTGCACCCCTCCCAGGAAAACCATTGATTCTTTATATTTCCGCTCAAGAACGGTCGGTTGGGGCCTTACTTGCTCAAGAAAATGATGAAGGGAAGGAGCATGCGCTGTATTACTTGAGTCGGATGATGACACCTAATGAGTTGAATTACTCACCCATCGAGAAGTTGTGCTTGGCACTTATATTTGTCATTCAGAAATTAAAGCATTATTTTCAAGCACACACTATTCGACTCATATCTAAGTCTAATCCCATTAAATATGTGATGGCAAAACCTGTACTGTCTGATCGGCTCGCGAGATGGTACCTCCAGTTTCAGCAATTTGAAATTATTTACGTACCTGCAAAGGCTGTCAAAGGACAAATATTGGCAGACTTTTTAGCCGATCATCCCCTACCTGCCGAGTGGGAGTTGACTGATGAACTTCCCGATGAAGAAGTGTTTATGGTCGAATTGTCGTGGTCAATGTATTTCGATGGAGCTGCCCACCGTGATGGAGCTGGTGCGGGAGTTATCTTTTATACTCCTGAAGCAGATATATTGCCATACTCTTTCACTTTAACACGCCGGTGTTCCAACAATGTGGCTGAATATCAGGCGTTGATTCTCGGTCTTGAAACGGCTGTAGACATGAAGCAGTTGCATCTTAGAGTCTACGGTGATTCAAAATTGGTGGTAAATCAACTCCTTGGTGTTTATGATGTCAAGAAACCTGAATTGATCCCATATTACAAGTATGCAAGGCAACTCATGGGATATTTAGGTAATGTCACTATAGAACATATCCCTAGAAATTTCAACCAACAAGCTGATTCTTTGGCAAGGGTGGCGTCCATGATCACTTTACCTTCTCATCGAAATCAAATTTTAATATGTCAAAATTGGGTCATACCTCCGTTGTTTGATGATGGTGGGGAAGAAAATATTTATCATATTTTTGTCCATGAGATCGAAAAGGAAGATTGGCGTCACCTCATCATTGATTACCTTAATCATGGGAAGCTACCAGAAGATCCTAAGAAAAGGGTTGATATACGTCGTCGAGCACCACGTTTCATTTACTACAAAGGGATGCTTTACCGAAGGTCATTCGATGGGGTGTTTTTACGATGTTTTGGAGAAGATGAGGCCATGCAAGCAATGGAGGAGGCTCACTCTGGGATATGCGGTGCTCACCAGTCTGGCCCGAAATTACACTTTCGCATTAAAAGAATGGGATACTACTGGCCAACAATGGTAAAGGATTGCATTGACTTTGCTAGAAGATGTCAAGCATGTCAATTCCATGGCAATTTCATCCATCAACCTCCGGAACCATTGCACCCAACTGTGGCTTCTTGGCCGTTCGATGCTTGGGGTTTGGATATAGTTGGACCACTCCCAAAGTCTTCTGGTGGACACATTTTCATTTTGGCAGCGACAGATTACTTTTCGAAGTGGGCTGAAGCAGTCCCTCTACGAGAGGTCAAAAAGGAGAATGTAGTAGATTTCATTCGCTTGCACATCATTTATCGGTATGGAGTTCCGCGTTATATTATCACCGATAATGGTAAACCTTTTTGCAATGCAGTAATGAACAAGCTTTGCGAAAAGTTTCATTTCAAACAATACAAGTCGTCCATGTACTATGCTGCTGCAAATGGACTCGCTGAAGCATTCAACAAGACCTTATGTAATCTATTGAAGAAAATTGTGGATAAATCGAGAAGGGATTGGCATCTTCGAATTGGAGAAGCACTTTGGGCATACCGAACTACTTTTCGAACTCCCACGCAAGCAACCCCATACGCACTTGTTTACGGTGTCGAAGCTGTTCTTCCACTTGAGTGTCAAATACCTTCGCTAAGAATCGCAATTCAAGAAGGGCTCAGTGAAGAAGATAATGTTCGTCTTCGCCTTGAGGAGTTAGAAGCACTTGACGAAAAGAGATTGGAGACTCAGCAACGAATTGAGTGCTATCAGGCTCGCCTTTCAAAAGCATTTAATAAGCATGTCCGGCCACGCTCCTTTCAAATTGGAGAGTTAGTACTCGCTGTTCGGAGACCGATCATTCTCACTCATGGCGGACAAAGAAAGTTTACCTCTAAGTGGGATGGTCCCTATGTTGTTCGAGAAGTGTATACAAATGGCTCATACAAGTTGGTTGCTGAAGACGGGTTAAGGGTTGGCCCCATCAATGGCAAGTACCTAAAAAGGTACTATGCATAATCGGAACCGCGCGAGGCTCCTGGCCCGCATGAGCTAAAACTGTGGATGGCGACCACCAATAGTGTAGTATGTGGTTAAACTGCTGAAACACTTCACCAAGTCTAAGGTGGTAAACAAATAGATACTCCTGGCCCGCATGAGGTTAAAATGTGAACGGCAGGAACTACGTGTGACTTGATTCCCTTGTTGGGATACGTAGGCAGCTTGGAAGGCAACTTCTAAGTTCAGTTACACCATTCCAAATCAAATCTTTGTCCCTTGCAAAAAAAAAAAAAATATTTCCAAAAAAAAAAATAATAATAATAATAAAATAAAAGGCTCCATTTGAGTTCTTTTCTCTTAAAAAATAAATAAAAAAACACAAGAGATAAGAAATTAAAAGCGTTTTATTATTAAGAAGGAAAAAATTCATTACATGGAAAAAAATGAGTGATTCAAGGAAAAGAAGAACATGGTGGAAAGTCTAAATATCAAATTTGTATTCCACTACAGCTGCTTTATATGATTCAAGTGCAGACTTCATGTCTTCAAGTTCCTTCACAGCATCATCAGTCAAGATGCTAGCGTTTTCAATGGAAGATAGCTCATCATGCGCTTGGGTTATTTCGGCTTGGATCTCTTTGGAAGTCGCGTGCTTTTGATCGATAGTTGACGTGATTTCCAAGCTTTGCTTCTCCAAACTGATGAGTTCCTGTTGTAGAACCTTCTTCCTGGCTTCAATGGATTGTAACTCTTCTTCAAAACGTTGCAAATGACAAGTTAGCTCTTCTCCCTTTGCCTTAACTTTCTCGAGTTGGACGGTCGCTTTGGAAAGGAGTTCTGCATGTGTTTCTTTGCTCATCCTTTCCCACGATGAAGATGCTAGAACATCATAAGCCTCCGCCTTGGCAAACAATTCCATCAAGTGGTCTTTTAAAGGGAGACCATTGGCGGGATCCGTTCTTGTGATTTCTGCAATGATTTCCTCTGCACACTCTTTTAAAGAAGAGATCTGCTCAATTGGAGTGTCAAGAATCTGTCCGCGGAAATCCATCCATAAGCTTTGCAAGTACTTTCTTCGATGTGCCTGGATCAACTTTTGACCATGAAATTCTGAAACCAATGCCACCTTAGGCCTTTTTCGAATTTCGTGTGAACTAGTCAGCTCCTTCTTATGCATTGACGAAGTACCTCCACTGGGGGCAAGTTGTCTTGGAGTACTGATAGCTACTTCGTCACTCTTGTTGTTTGAGATTATATCATCAGCTTCGAGTTCGGGTGATGAATTGTTACCAACACCTTCTTGACGGAATTCAAGAAACGGGGGCTGAAAAGGAAAAAGTTAAAAAAAAAATTTTTTTTTAAAAAAAAAGGGAAAAGGATGGAGAGATGATTACCTTAAGTGGCGACACTCCGACCAACGGTGGTGTAAAGGAAATCTCCTCCAAATCAGAAGATGTCCTCTTTTTCGATCGGTTCCAATGACGATCTTGACTACTACTACCGCTCGCCAATGAATGGACCCCTTCTTGGGTAGATCCGATGTCCTGAACTTGAGTTCCTTCCTTTTCTATAGCCTCGATAGAATCACGATCGTCCACCGTTTCAATTTCGATATCTTTATCAGTACGAGTTGCCGATAAGGATTTCAAAGCTTTGGGCGGCGTCTTCTTCGCTGGAACCGCTGGTTGCGCCTCTTTGATGGCCTGCCGAGAGTCCTTGGAAGACTTATTTTTTGTAGCAACATTTTTCGAGGGACTGCTAGTTGTTTTGTTCTTTCGCAGGGTGGATGAGGCAAGACCCGTTACAATCTCTATAGCTCCATTATGATGCACTGACTCGTTAGTGGAGGTAATCTTACCCTTCTTCGATGATTGCTGAGGGATCTTAACGGTGAATTTAAAGGAAGTTGAAGAGACACTATTTGACCGAGTCGACCACCAGGCGTCATAGTCTTTTGTGATCAATGGATGCTTCCTATGCGCGGGTATAGTCATCCGAGATCGCGTCTGTGT